TCTAATTCCCCTTCTTCTTTCTTCCCTGCTTTTCCTTTTCCTTTTCCCCTTATTACATTTTACACGATACTTTTATATTCCATTTTTACAATTAGAGGCTTAATCAACAGCCAGAAAAACAACAAGAATAAGAATAAAGTTTACATTATTTTTTTACACACAGCTATTTTTTATGATCATGGTTCCTTGGAGAGCATGAAAGGCTATTCTTAATGGTCATGGTTCCTTGGTAATTGGAGAGCCTGGTAGACAATGGCTTTTCGCTTAAACATTTTCTTTTTAAACCTGTTTTTCAACTTGTGTGGTAGCAAAGTTACAAAGTAAAAAAGTTACATCTTAAATTTAAGCTGATACATTTTACGTTTTTAGCTAAATTTCAATATTATTTATTTCCATTCAAAAGACAACACTTTTACACTTTCCATTATTGCAGGGGTGATCACTATCTCAATAAGGGGGTTTTGTTTTATAAAAAAGATGTTTTGGGTCATAATATCGCCTAAATTCATCATTCCAATCTCATGTTTCATGATTTATTTTACCACTTATACCTTTCATAACATCTTCCCTCTGGTCACTTTCAAACCTTTTGAAAAACATATCCCAAAAACCATCAGGGTGTTTTGCATTAAATTCATCATATTTTCCAGTATATGGAAGAGATTTATCTGTAGGCTCTGGAATTCTGTAAGGGCCTCTCCCAATAGGGGGCTGCCACAAACAACCATTACCTAACAGATAAACAATTCTTCCACCTGGTGTTCTCATGGTGGGGGCAAGGGTTTGGGTTTTTCCTTTGAAGGAGTTCTTATAAGCCTTAGAAATCTAGGAGTCTCTGGAGTGGTCATCTCTAGGATTTCCACCATTAATTCTTTTTGTTATAATGCATCCATGAATTCCCTTAAAATCATATTGTTCTTGAGAAGTTTTAATAATGCTAAAAGAACCGGAGGTAATGTTTGCGTATCAAAGTCATCACCTCCATTTAGTTCTTTCTGGGGACATCTAACAAACTTTTAGTAGGAACACTTTGTGTAAAGAACACAGCCTTTTTTCCCTGTCCCACATAGAAAACACAAAGAGACAATAGAAGAGAAATTACAGAAAGGCCAAGAACAATCATGGAGAAAGCACACGTTCCGAGAGGCTGACTTCCTTGAAGTTTTCGCCTCAATTGGGTGATTTTGTCACACATACTCCCTTGGAGTTGGTGTGGCATATGTCAGGTAAAAAAATCCCAAAAGTGGATCAGAAGAGAATGGTATTCCATGATATTGACCTCATTTGTGGCTTGTGTGCTGTGAGTTATGGAACTGCCTAAATTTGCCTGGGTGAGTGAGTCTCTGAACAGCATAATGTGGAAAGGTTCATGTCACCTGTACAACAAAGTTCATGTAAGGCAGCCCATAAGTGGTAGCTTCAGCAAGAGGAATGGGAAACACAGGGAGTTCTACAGGTTCTTCTCTATTTACCAGTAACTTAGCATGACCTTAAACACATCAGATAATGAGAAAGACACAGGTTTGGGCACGTTTCTATCTATTATACATAGAGTTGCTAGGAGTTGGAGTCAGTTCAGCTACACCTACCAACATCTCTGCACTGGATTGTGTAAACAGATAACCTCACTTCGTGTGTTGCCAAAGCTTAACTCAAAATCACACAGTCTGTTCTAACGCATAGCAACCCTAAAGGGCAGAGTAGAACTGCCTCATAAGGGTGTCTGAGGCTGTGGGGAGCTCTTGTGGTCTAATCCACAGAATGTTGCACTGCTAACCAAAAGGCTATGTCTCTGGCAGCTCAAATCCCGTAGCGGCTCCTCAGAAGAAAGATGGGCAATATCCTATCATTGCAGTTTTCAACCTCAGAAACCCTGTGGAGGGTTAGAACCAACTTGGCAGCAGAGAGAGTAGATCAGTATGGGAGCAGACTGCCACATATCTCTTCTGTGAAGTGGCAAGTGTGTTCACACCACTAAACCACTAACTATTTGGTTAGAAGCCTTAACCGCAGTGCGCTAGAGCTCTTCACTGACTGGAAGGCACTGCAGAAAAAAAGGATCTGATCATCTAATTAAAAAGAAATAAATAAAATCAGACTTTGAAAACCCTATCGGACCCAGTTCAACAAAGGCTCATGTGCCAAAATCTGATCCACAGCAACTGGTGGTGGAGTTGTATATCTGTATTAATAGCAGAAGAAATGAACTGTGATGGTGTAGTCAGTAAGGAGTTACACTGCTAATCCAAATGCTGTACCCCTGTGCTAACTGAAATTCATCAGCTGCTCCCCAAGAGAAAGATGGACAGTCTGCTTTTGTGTGATTTATAGTTTCAGAAAACGAGCCAGAGGGTCAGATGAGTCAGTTCCAGCTTAACAGCAATGACAAATATTGGAGGTAGGCAGCTGGTTAAGAGTCAAAGTAAATTTGAGACTCAACGGGTCTAACTCCCTACTGAAAAGTGGAAACCAAGACTTTGAAAAGGTAAAAGACTTTCCCCCCACATATGTCTGTGTTTATGTCTGGATGCGCTTGAGACTGGATAGCACTTCAGACCAGATTTGAATCTCTGATGCTGAGTGGGAAAGAAGTATGCATCACCCAGCTCCCCTGCTAAAACAGTTCCCATAACAAAGACAGGCAGCGGAGTAACCTGTCTTCCCTTTGCACCGTGAACAAAGAATTAGGGGGTAGAGTTTATTGTTGGGGGTCAAAAGCACCTTCTGGAGGATATACATTGCCCTAGGAAATGAAAGTTAACGTGCCAGAAGTGAATAGTGTTAGCATCAAATGCATATAGTTTTCTTAATTTTATTAATTACATCTTCAGAGGAAGATTTTTTTTTCTAAGAACAATTTACCTGTAATAAGCAAACTCTTTTTGGCTGCAGCTACAGCTCCTTAAAGGGTATATCTTGAATCTTGCTAAATTACTGGTCAGTGTACCAGAATGCCCATACTCCTTTCACACTACAGGCTCTTTATGTTCTGTATTTTTATGTAACACAAATTCTGTGGGGATGAAAGAGTCCTTATTAGAAGAGGAGAAGGGTAAGGGATTTTCTGGCAGGCTTCCTACGGGAAATCTCATCTTGAAATCCAAAGTCCTGAAAGGCCCTGTTGAGCTTCCAGAGTCCTCTTTCAGAGATTATTTTGATAATCATACCAGATAGGGCATTTCCAGCCTGCGTGGATACTCTTCCACAGCGAGGGGAGACATGTGATCCCCTCAAGCCTTCTCTCCCTCAAGGAACTCTCAGCTGTGTCACTAACCTGCTTCTTTTTAAGGGGCTGTGCCAGCACCTACAGTACTTTTATATAGGCCTTATAGTACCTTATCCAAAAGGCCAGGCCATACTGAAAATTTGATCTGGTTTTTCCATCAATAGTGGATCCCTCATTTTCCTTTATCTTAAGTGAAGCAAACAAACAATGCCCCTAATCCTTGTTGTATAATAGAAGCATGAAAGATCCTGCTAATAACATCTGTAGGGCCAATTCATGGCCGAGAAATCCTTGCTTTTCACGACAGAGGACATGGCTCATGTGGATCCCTGATTATGCCCAGAAAACCCCCATTTTTTTCATAACCCCCAAGCTGACTGGGGTCATCTGATCTTTGGGGAGCCTCATGTGATGCTCAGTACTGGTGCGTGTGCTAGGGCCTCCCTGACTCCTGATGCAACCTCCCAGCTCAAGAGACATGTCAGCCTTTCCCACTCTCTGCCTGGTCCTTTCTCTGTGTAATAAGAAGTATGCTTACAGATGACCCCTTCTCCATTTTGCTCTAGATCCCACGGAGCACCATGGTGCCTTATGGTGCTAAGAAGCTTTCTCCTTTCATTTCTTCATGTTTTCTATATATAAAACTCCATTTGGGATCAGGAGTCTTTTCTCAGCAGATCTGTTGTCTGTATGATTTGTACAATACCATGTGAGCTCTGATGGCTTAATGGCAAGGAATCACACAGTTGGCTTCCATCGGCTGCTCCACAGAAGAAAGGTGGGCAGCTGACCCCTGTATAATTTACTGCCATTGAAAGCCCACTGGTGGGTAAGCTATGGGTTGGTTCTGACTCAACAGCACAACAACAGCATGTTATTCCAATGCATAAAATATAAGTCAAGGGAACGCTGAACGTAGAAATTCCATATGACCCAGCTATTCCACTGCTTGGAATATACCCTGAGAATATGAGAACTGAGCTACAAACGTAGACTCGTACACCAATGTTCATAGCAGCATTATTCACCATCTCAAGAACATGGAAACAGCCCAGATATCCAACCATAATCTAATGGATTGAGAAGTTATGGTACATTCACACAATGGAATACTACGCTGCAAGCAGGAGCAATCATATTGTAAATTACTACCTAACTTGGGAGAGACTGGAGAGCATTATGTGAAGTGAACTAACTCAGTCCCACAAGGATAAATACTATATAAAACCATTATTGTAGAATGAGCATGAGACTCCAAGAGGGCGGGGAAGGCTGGAAGAGTAGGTGTGAAGATATGCTGATCATGAGGTCATACAATTTGATGGGTGGGGGTGAGGGAAATGAGAAGAAACTGGTGTGGAAAATGATGTATTTGGATTTTGTAAATAAACTAATATTTAAAACAAAGAGTGGAAAAAATGTAAGTCAATAGCTTTAATTTTATGTACCCCTAAAGCAGAAAAGCTATAATCTCTCCTATTTCAAAATGGACATAATGTAAATGAAGAATAGTGTAAAACGCAATGTATATGAACTTTGTAAGCAAACCAATTAAAACAGTATATCAAAAGGAAATAAAACAAACAAAAAATGTAATATGTAAAACAAAAAAGACCTATGAACTTGACCTTCATACTTAGATTTGTGAGAAAAAATTTGTTACAGACATGTCAGAAATTTTTTTAATACATTAGTTCTTTCCCATTGCTTGATATTCAAATATAAACATTTTATTTAACCTTAAATTTAACTTGCTTTTTCATTTTGCCTGCAGCTCCCGAGATTCTCAGAGGCTGTGCCTATGGACCTGAAGTGGACATGTGGTCCGTAGGAATAATCACCTACATCTTGTAAGTGAGCTTTTCATGTAAACCATTTGTCTTTGCTGTTACCATTTTATGAGTTCTGTGATCTTCCTAGGAAAATTACTTTCCGACAGTCTTCCACTGCATGCTAGATGTAGTTTGTGATAGAACTTCTAAAATGGGCATTGCTTTTTATTTTGTCGTCTTATTCCCCTCTCATCCTCCCCCCAACTTCTGGTAAGAGCTTCCCTGGGCATTGGTCTCATTCTACTGTGCATCAAATAGCAGGTTTGTGTGACATTCAGTGCTTTGGACTCTTATATTGCAAGCTCTCTATTTTCCGTAATTTATGTAATACAACTTCTATGAGGATGAGAAAATCCTTACTGGAAGAGGAGAGGGATAAGGAACTATCTGACAGACTTTTTGTGGAAAATTCCATCTGTGAATTCCAGAGTCCTTGAGGTCTTGCTGAATTTCCAGAGTCCCCTTTCAGAGCCTGTAATATTCAAGTCTGTAAAGAAATATATGAGCAGTGAGAAGGAAATAGACTTTTTTAAAAAAAAGTAATGATCTAGGGAAATACAATGTCTGAGTAATAAGAACTAAACCAATTATCAAGCCCTCTGAAAATGAACATTACTTTTTATTTTTTTCTTATTTCTTTTTTTTTCCCTTAACTTCTGCTATACATTGTATAGCAGGTTTGTGTGACAATTCGGTGTTTGAAGATAGTGATTCATGTAAACGTCAAGAGCATATATTAAACTTGCTCTTATTTTATTTACTTACCTCTTATCCAGATTAATTAAAAAGTTCCTCCTTTAAAGGGTAAATGATCATTTTACTTCTAAAACAGTCCCAAACAAGTATATTTCCAATTGGAAATATTTTTAATGCATTTTGAATGTTACTTTGTTTGATCTTTGTCAAATTTTCAGAGTCCTTCAGTTTAACACTCCACACATATTTCTCCGAGAGAAAATGGTCTAAACCTTTTATTCTTTGATATCTTCACTTCCATTCCTTATTATAAGAGGAGTATTTCAGGAAATTTGCCAAAGATATGATGGAATTACAGATAATAAGGAGAGAAATAAGCAAAACTTGACAAAAGACTCTCTGGGTAGGAAGATTACTGTAGACCAACTTCAAAGCAAAATATCAGTGTGTTTTTAAGGGTTTTTAAGTGAGTTTCAAACAAGTAGGTTGGGTTGCCATTTATCTGCACAATTTTAATCTATGAGAAAGAAAAGACTAGTGCTCAGAGTAAGACTCAGAACAAAGCCTTCAGTATACAGCAAGAAGTGCTTTCCAAAGGACAAGGGCTGAAAGAGGAGCAGCATCACACAAGAGCTCTGCTTTAGATGTTCACTGGACAGAAAGCACTGCAGAGTTATTGTTGGAACCATAATATTCATATTCATATCTGTAAAGAGATTTCTTCTGGAGAGTGAGGAGGAATGAGCTTTTCTTAAAAAAAAAAATGTAATGTTCTCACACCCACTGCCATCGAGTCTAGTCCAGCTCCTGGCAACCTTATGTTGGGTTTCTGAGGCTGTGATCTTAATGAGAAGAGATTAGACTGCCCATTATTCTTCCTTTGAGTGGCTGATGGAGTCAACCTTCTGAATAGTAAGGTAAAAACCAAGAATGTAACACACTACACCACCAGGGTTCCTAAACAGAAGCTGTTATTGTTGTTATTAAGTGCCATCGAGTCGCTCATGACTCGTCGTGGCTCTTTGTACAATAATAGCTCTGAGCCCTCTCCTGAGTCAATCCCACTGTCTCTGATACACTTGCCCCTTACTACCCAGTCAGTGTGTCAATCCATCTTATCCAGGGTCCTCCTCTCCTGTGTTGTCCCTCCACCCTCGAAATGGGACATATAATAATTGTCCCATTTTCACAAAAGAAAAACCCTCTCAGCTCACAGCACTACAGTTCTATCCAAAAGCTTGCCTCTACCCTATCGTGTGCACTCACACTGCAGGCCTGCTTCTTGTTGTTGTTGTTGTTGTTATGTGCCATCGAGTCGCCTGCGACCAATAGCGACCCTATGTACAAAAGCTCTAAATGCTGTTCTATCCTGTGCCAACCTAGCCATCTCAAATGCACTTATTCCCACCGCTCCAGTCACAGAATCGATCCATCTCACCAAAGGTCTTCCTCTCTTTCACTGCCCCTCCACTCTACCAAACATGGTGTCCCTCTCCAAGGACCCGTCCCTCCTTGCAACATGCCCAAAATATGGCAGACAAAGCTTCAGAATCCTTGACTCCAGGGAATATTCTGGCTTCACCCTCTCCAGGACAAACCTGTTTGTTCTTCTAGCAGTCCATGGTATATTTAACACACTTCTCCAGCACCACAGTTCAAAGGCATCAATCCTCTTTCTATCAACCCTATTCACTGTCCAATTCTCTGATGCATAGCACATAATTGCAAAGACTATAGCCCGGATCAGGCACACCTTAGTCTCCAGCCTGACATCGTTGCTCTTCAGCACTCTTGAGAGGTCCCTCACAGCCAACTTTCCCAGTGCAATTCGTCTCCTGATTTCCTGGCTGCTGTTACCAAGAGTTTTGACTGTGGAACCAAGTAAATTAAAACTGTTGTTGTTGTTGTTATGTGCCATCGAGTCATTTGCGACTCATAGCGACCCTATGCACAACAGCCCTAAACCCTGCTCTATCCTGCGCCAACCTCACTGCCTCTGACACGCCCATCCCGATTACCCCAGTCACCGAATCAATCCATCTCATAGAGGGTCTTCCCCTCCTGCGCTGTCCCTCCACCCTCCCAAGCATGATGTCCCTCTCCAAGGACCCGTCCCTCCTGGCAACATGTCCAAAGTATGTCAGACGAAGTCCCAGAATTCTTGCCTCCAAGGAGTTGCTTGGTTTAATTCTCTCCAAGATGAATCTGTTTGTTTTCCTGGCAGTCCATGGTACATTCAGTACTCTTCTCCAGCACCACAGCTCAAAAGCATCCACTCTCCTTCTGTCCTCCTTAGTCATTGTCCAACTCTCTGATGCATAACAAGCGATTGCAAAGACCATGGCCTGTATCAGGTGCACCTTAGTCTCCAGCAAGACACCGTTGCTCCTGAGTACTTTAGAGAGGTCCCTAACCGCAGATTTTCCCATCGCGATACGCTTTTTGATTTCCTGACTGCTGGTGCCAAGAGTGTTGACTGTGAAGCCGAGCAAACTGAAGCTGTGAACAATCTCAATCTCTTCGCCATCCATCCTGACGCTGCCAGTTGGTCCAGTGGTGAGAATCTTTGTCTTCTTGACATTGAGCCTCAGTAGTTTTACATAATCCTACACTGCCATTGTGAGCATTAAAATACTATCTTTCTGAAGATTGTTAAATGATGTGCATACACACACATGTGCATATGAGTTTGCTTTGTGTGATATTTCTCCCATTTTTGGCATTTCGGGCTGACTTGATATAAACTTTTGACCCGTGTCACCAAAGCACAGGACCATTGATTGACATGGCTGTACTGAGCGAGAAGGTATTCAAGCACTGTGCCTTCTGAATTGTGTCCTATAAACAGTTTGAAAAGCTGGTTAATGTCTCCACAACCACTCAGCCACAGTCGGTGATTTTCTAGTATTGGATGAGTGGAGAGTCATTTTTTCTGCTTCATGTCTCCAGGTAGCCTGGGAGCTGGCTTCTCTGGACCAACTGCTACAGTAAGGAATGGCCTTTGCACCCACTCTACTTTCCTGCCTGGCTCCAGAGTATTTTGTGGAGACAAACACTCTCCCAGTGGGACACTTCCTATGCAAAACAAAGAAATGACTGTTTTCTAGAAACCCATCACATCTTTATGCACTTGAGCTTTTCTTGCTCTGGATGAGTTTAGCTGGTTTGAGAGAAGAATTTGAATGAAGATGTCTTTTAGATTCTCTTTGTCCCTCTTTTGTTACTTTTTTAAAAAATTTACTATTTGTGTGTGGGTACCATCAAATCAGATCTGACTGATACAGGAAGAGATTGTCCCTCCTTCTCCAGCAGAGCTTCTGGTGGATTCGAACCATGCACCTCTGGGATTGCAGTGCAACTTCTTGCCACTAGACCACCAGAGCTCACCTTTTTGACTGTATTTTATCTCACTTAACACATGCTCTGGCAGGTTTGTTTGTTTTTTTTATTTCTCCCCCTGTGTGATTTACAGCCTCTGAAAACCCACTGGAGGGTCAGCTGTTAGTCATTTCCAACTCAATGGCAATGAGCTTTTTTTGAGGTTTTAGTCTCTAGTAATTTCAAATTTCCTTTCTATAAACAACCCAGGTGTGGTGGTCTGAGGTCAGCAGCTCAAGATTCCTCCCTCCTTCAGACTCCAAGTAGAGTTCCTGGTTTCTTTTCTCTCATGGTTCCCCATCATCTTTCTGTTAACCTGTAATGGAAGATGAAAGTCAACATAGTAGGATGTCTATTAAGTTTTCCAAAGTGAGTGCCACAGTCAAGGTGATTCTGAACATTGCATCTCTGGCTCCATCTGTTCACTGTCTTAAATTTTTTCTTGTTTCTTTTATTCTTTTCTTAAGATGTTTTTGAAAGCATCTATCATCATAGTTTTTGGGATTTACCTTTTTCACTCTGAAATAGAGAATTGAAATGGGATGTAAATAACTGCATTTTATACATTTTTATAAAGAAATTATGTAAAAAGACTGGATGAAAATAATTTAAAATTTATTTCCACTTCTATCTCTGTTTTTAAAACTTTTCTTTTATAGCAAAATTACTATCTTTCTTTTTTCTGTTTGTCTCTCTTCTAAATTTGTGATGTGAGAGGGAGGGAAGCCCACATGAAGTTCTTCACACTATACCTGTTATAATGATAACTAAGTCATGGTTGTTGTTTTTTGTCATAATTACTACTATTATTACATTTTTAATACAAATATTTTCTTGGTATTGTGTCTATTCTCACTTCTTATTGATTGATTGTGTATGTCACTCACTCACTTAGTGCAGTTGACTCTCAACTGAATCCTTACTGACCCTCTGAGTCAGTTTCTGAGGCCATAAATCTTATGGGAGGAGATAGTCCAACTTTCTACTGTGGAGCCTCTGGAGGAGTCAGACCAACAAAGAGGCTCTGCCTTTGGGTTAAGCAGTGCAATTCCCTACAGAAAATGCCACCAGTGATCCCTCAATTATGTGTTTAAATAGTTAAAAATGAAATGTCACAAAGCAGTTATATACCTGCTGTGCGAAAGAGGATCACTTTGAATTTCTGCAGAAATTTGATGAAATACAGTTAGGATTTTAAAAGATTTTACTGCCTGTCTTTCATCCCTCTAGACTTTGTGGATTTGAACCATTTTATGATGAAAGAGGAGATCAGTTCATGTTCAGAAGAATTCTGAATTGTGAATATTACTTTATCTCCCCCTGGTGGGACGAAGTATCTCTAAATGCCAAGGACTTGGTAAGTGTGACTAAACAAAACCAAATGAGATAAAATATCACACCTTTTTTTTTAATCAATCAATGGGTGATGCCATTTTAAAAATTTCTTTTTACTTAAAAATCCTATTTTTAAATAACCCAATACATTCTAATGTTTTATCTTTATTTGTAGTGAAAAATAAATATATTCTAGCTCAACTATAACAAATGACAAATTACTATATTATTAGTTCATAAGTTTTTACTAGCTAATTAGAACAGAGCTTTGCTCTTGAAAAAAGTAGTGTTTGAAGAATTTAAACATAATTTAAACTGAAGAATTCAAACTTAATATAATTTACTATTACTTAGAGTCATGCATACTTCAAACAAAATGACTCTGAATAGCTCTGATACTTATGAAAATATCCCAATATTAACTTAAGCCCCATCATGTGCCATAAATTTCATGGTTCTTATAGTGTACTTATTATTAAATTGTTTTTTTTTTGCTTAAAGTAAAGTTGACATTAGTTTGCATTCAGGAACTTATACACCATAGGAAGTGATTCACCAGTTTTAAAATGAAATAGAAGATGCTAGCATGGGGTTAAGAATCCCTGAGTTATACAAATCATTAAAAACTATGCTGTTAAGTGAAAGTCTTTTTTTAGAAAAAGCACTTGCATCATTTATAAAGGAATGAAAATGGAAATAATGTAGGCAATAACTTGGGGGTATATTATATATGTCTTTATCTAGGATCATAAACGTAATAAGGGGCATGACCCAAATGCAAGCATGTCCCTGATTCTAGATGTCTTTGTATTATACTAAGTCAAAAGTCATGAGGTAGTCTTCATTAAGGGCTAGATACTGAACCTTTTATTTGCCTTTTAAATCCCTAAAGAAAGAATGATTGGTAAGTGAACAATTCCATCACCATTGAAATATGGTCCTAGTTCTGTAGTAGTCTGAGTAACCATGAGGCCTAGAGTTATGCAGATTCTAAATCTTCAAAGAACTTCTTGTCCGCAGGCACACATGACTGGTTTCTTCGTCTTCTACTGAGAAGCAGTGTATCAGGATGGGGTTTTAGCTGTTTTACACTTCTGTCTTCCCAGATTCTCCAAGCTCTATTTACCTAGATCCCGTCTTACTAATAGAGTGACTGTTGAGGGTTCACAAACTTTTTTCTTCTAATAGCTGTTCTACAATAGTGTTAGATAAACAAGACCTAGAAGTTTGCAACTAAGAGGCACACCTCAGTTCCTATAAAATCCTCTTTTAAGAAGTCGATGATTGGTTGTTATTTCAGGTCAGAAAATTAATTGTTTTGGATCCGAAGAAACGGCTGACTACTTTTCAAGCTCTCCAGCACCCATGGGTCACAGGCAAAGCAGCCAATTTTGTGCACATGGATACCGCACAAAAGAAGCTCCAAGAATTCAATGCCCGGCGCAAGCTGAAGGTAAGATGCCATAGGTTTTGCTTTCTGTTGAGAGTGTGAGAGAATTTTCTCTTTTATGTTAAACTATCAATAATAGTCCCACCACGAATAACTATCTAAGAGTGTTATTCATTTTCTATCACACAGGGAGAATCTTGCTTTGAAAGGCTGTCAGTGCTTAGTATAAAAAGCCTCTTAGGGCATTGTTATCCGAGTCTCATAAGAAACCCATTGTTAACAAAGGAAATATATCGTACATAGACATTTTCTCATGACTAAGTGAACAGATTATTCTGCATCTCAACTAATTGAGGCTGAGCTGCTTGAAAAGCATTATTTAGGAAATTGATATTTATTCAGAAAGTTGTCTTCTTTCTGAATTTGTGAAAATTGAGAAACAATTTTGAAACTACAATATCTTTACGCAAATGGTGCACTATAAATTTTTTGCCAGCCACAGCCTTCTTTCAAGGTATTTTCATAAGCTTGCTATGCTAATTTTTTTTACATATTGCCATAAAAAAATTAGCATGTTATGTTTATGAAAGTGTCTTGGGTTATAGGAGAGCGCTCTTGGCAAAAATGCACAGCACATGTGTTATTTGCATAAAAAAACATGATATATTTAGTAACAGATAAATAGTACATTCTGTAAAAATTAAAGTTATTTAAATGATATAAAAATTATTCTACAAAATACCTGTTTTTAGAGAACATAAATACAATCTTATGTGTCTGGAATAGAAATGATGTACTTTTCTATTACATAATAATGTTTAGAATATGCTATGTAAGCAAAAGATTTATGAAAATGGCTGGGGGTAAAAATAAGTTTCTTATACTCAACCATTTGCTCAGAATTTGTTACAAACTGTAAGCCCAGAGAGTTCTGTAGCCAAATTAACACCCTAGATTAAGTATATGGAGTTCTGGTGGCCTAGTGAAAGGAGAGGTGTGCTGCGATCTCAAAGGTACACAGTAGAACCAATCTCCTGCTCTGCGGGTGAAAGATGATGGGCCATCTTCTCCCCTGTGATTAACGGCTCCTGAAAACCCACAGGAGGGTTAGGTACAAGTTGGTGCCAACTCGATGGCACATAACAACAGATTAAATAAATTGACTTAGTTAGCGTTCTTCAAAAGATTTAGATCATAGAACTCATATATGTACAGAATACTGTTACTGTTAATATAATAGCACAGGGGAGCCCTGGTGGCCCAGTGGCAAGGAGTTACACTGACAACACAAAGGTATGTGGTTCAAATCCACCAGCCACTCCACAAAAGAAAGATGAGCAGTCTCCCATGCAATCAATGCCTCTGAAAACCTACTGCTTAAAAAAAGCAGGATCAGCTATGGGCTGTTCCATTAGTGTTTGCAACAGTTTACAATAGTGTTCCATTAAATTAATGTTGTTGTTGTTGTTGTTGTAGTTGTTGCTGCTGCTGCTGCTGTTAAGTGCCATCTAGTCACCTTGACTCATAGTGACCCTGTGTACAGCAGCTCTGAAGCTTGCCCTGTTCTGAGCCATTCTCACTAATTCCAACACACCAACCCCTATTGCCCTAGTTATTGTATCAATCCATCTTATGTGGGATCTTCCTCTCCTGCATTGTCCCTCTACTCTTCTGAGCATGATGACCTTCTCCAAGGACTGGTCTCTCCTGGCTACATGCCCAAAGTATGTAAGATGGAGCTTCAAAATCATAGCCTTCAAGGAGAAACTTGATTTCACCCTGTCCAAGACAGACCTATTTGTTTTCTATTTTCTTGGCAGTCCATGGTATGGTCAAGATTCTTCTTAAGCACCACAGCTCTAAAGCATCTTTAACTAAAGCAACTCTAAAGCATCAGTTAATCTTCTGTCATCCTTAGTCATTGTCCAGGTCTCTGATGCATAGCAACTAATTGCAAAAACTATGGCCTGGGTTAAGTACACCTTAGTCTCTAGTGTGCACCTTAGTCTCTAGTCTGACATCATTGTTTTTCAGGGCTCTGGAGAGGTCCTTGACAGCAAATTTTCCCAGTGCAATTCATCTTTTTATTTCCTCACTGCTGGTGCCAAGAGTGTTGATTGTGGAGCCACGCAAGCTGTAATTATTAACAACCTCATTCTCTTGTTTATCTATCATGGCACTGCCAATTGGCCTAATGGGAGAATCTTTGTCTTCTTGGTCTTGAGCTGTAATCTGCATTGAAGAATACAGTGCCAAGAAATCTGGAGGTCATCCCATGGCCAGCTGATGAAGAGATCCATACTTTTCCCATCCAAAAAAAAGGTGACCCAATAGAGTGTGGAAATTATTGAACAGTATCATTAACATTATATCAAATCAAGATCCTGCTGAAAATTATCCATAAAATACTGGAACAGGACATCAACAGGGAACTGCCAGATATGCAGGCTGGATTTAGACGATGCCATGGCATTAGGGACGTTACAGCCAAAGTTAGGTAGATCTTGGCCAAAAGCAGAGAGTGCCAGAGGAATGTCTGTCTGTGTTTTATTGACTACACAAAGGCATTTGACTGTATGAATCACAACAAACTGTGGCTAACTCTTAGAAGAATGGGAACCCCAGAACACTTGATTTGTGCTTATTGTGAAACCTGTACTTGGACCAAGAGGCAGTCATCAGAACAGAGCAAGGAAACACTGCATGGTTCAAAATTAGCAAAGGTGTACACCAGGGATTAATCCTATCTCCATACCTTTTCAGTCTATATGCAGAATAGATCATCTAGGAGGCTGGTCTCTATGAGGAGGAATGTGGCGTCAGGATTGGAGGAAGAATCATCAACAACCTGTGTTATGCAGATGACACAACCCTGCTTGCTGAAATTGAGGAGGACGTGAGGTATTTGCTACAGAGGGTCAAGGACTTCAGCCTTCAAAATGGATTGAACCTCAACATCAAGAAAACAAAGATTCTCATGACTGTGCCAATTGGCAGTCATGATAGTCAGTGAAGAAATTGAGATTGTTAACAGTTTCAACTTGCTTGAGTCCACAATCAACACTCTTAGTACCAGCAGCCAGGAAATCAAAAGACAAATTACACTGGGAAAATGTGCTATCAGAGACCTCTGCAGAGTACTGAAGAACAATGATGTCAGTCTAGAGACTAGGTACACCTGATCAAGGCCATAGTCTTCACAATTACTTGCTATGCAACAAAGTGCTGGACAATGACTAAGGATGATAGAAGAAGAATCCATGCCTTTGTGTTGGGGTGCTGGAGAAGAGTATTGAATACACCATGAACCACTAAGATTACAAACAAGTCCAGCCTGCCTGGAGAGAGTGAAACCAGGCTACTCCTTGGAAGCAAGAATTTTAAAGCTCCATCTGACATATTTTGGGCATGTTGCAAGAAGGAACCAATCCTTGGAAAAGGACATCATGCTTTGAAGTATAGAAGGACAGAGCAAGAGAGGAAGACCTTGGATGAGATGGATAGACTCAGTGACTGGGGTAATGGAAATAGGTGTGTCAGAGATGATCAGATTTGATCAAGATAGAGCAAGGTTCAAAGCTGTCATACATAGGGTCTCTATGAGTTGGAGTCAACTCAATGGCACATAGCAACAATAACAATAAAGTCTTTGAAGACTGATAATTTATAGAAAACTTAGACTTTCAATTGTTCAAATGATTAAATACACTGCTTTAATATTAAGAAATGGTTTTCTAATCTTTGTTCAAAATCCATTCTCATTGTTTTAGATTCAATTTTGACTCATAATAACCCCATAGGACTGAGTGTACAGGCCCACAGTTTCCAAAATGGCAAATCTTTACAAAAGCACATAGTCATACCTTTCTCCTAAAGAGTGGCTAATGAGTTAAACTTCTGACTTTTCAGTTAGTCACTAAGAGTTTACCCACTGCATCATCAGGGATTCTTTTTTTTAATAGCATTTTATTGCACTTTGGTGATACTTTACACAACAACTTTGGTTTCTATTTGACAATTTGACAAAGATTAGTAACACTAGTTATATTTATCACAGTCTATCAGTGTGTCATGTTCTCTTAAATTGTGTTCTGTTTGTTCCACTTTCGACTCTGGTTCCCCTGTTCTCTTGTCTCCCTGAATTTGCCTTTGAGTAATTGTTGGCTTTCTGTTCCCATTCTGGTGACTTAAAAAATTTTTTTTCCATTCCGATAACTTTAAGTAAGTTGCATACCGATCTTAAGGTTAATATTCTTCGGTGTGCCATTCTCTTTTTTCACTAAAATACGATCTCTGGGTTAGACTCCCTTCCAGGATTAAAGAGAAATGGTCTCTTGGAACTTCTGTTCTCTACTACTATAGTTTTTTGAATTTTAAAAAGAAGGGGGGAAAAGATTTGAGATCTACTTCATTCATTCATTCATTTTTTACTACTCTGAATAAGACTGTCTATGGTGAACCCAGTCAGAACCATCCGTGGTGGCAGGTGGACACTATCTAGTTTTCTATTCTCAGGCTAGATGATGATGTGGGTCATGTAAGCTTGCTGCCTCTCTCAGTTTGGGGCTGCCTTCTTATTGTTTTTGTCCTGGCAAGCAAAGACCCATATTATGTCTTCTTAGCTGATGGTGGTGGTGGTAAATGCAGTCGGACTGCTCACAAATATTTAAGACTTAAGGTGCTACTCATTGCACTACGGTGCAGATCATGAATTATGTGAACTATAATGTGAACTAAGGTGTCCCATATGGTCCTAAACTCTCTAATTCTGAAAACTTATCTAAGTTAAAGGGAAATCTGGTTGCCTAGTGGGTAGGGAGTTTCACCTGTAGCACAAAGGCAGTGGCCTTCTGGCCATCCGAATCTGCTAGCACCTCCATTGGAGAAAAATGAGTGGTTCTTTTGCACAATGAACAGCCTCTGAAAACTCTTTGGAACATCAGCCAATAGTCAGTTCCAACTCAGTAGCATTCAGTTTTTAGTTTTTTTGTGTTGAGTATCCATTTTTGTGTCTTCGAGAAATATATATGCCTTGAAAATAATTTTTTTAAATAAGAAATGTATATGCCTGCAAACACCTATTTGTGTTTATACAAACCAATCAATACTTCTATTGTTTTCACCTATGTATATACATCTATACCTCCTCACAAGCCAACAAACCTATATTAATCATATTTGTTCAAATATTTGTTTTTATTTTGGTTATATTATGCTTCCTATATCCTCAATCAGTATCATTTTCTCACCAAATAAAGAAATGACAAGTCTATGGGACCAAAAACGTACTTCCCTTTTCCTTTCTCTCCATATTGTTACTGCTTCTGTTATATAGTATCAAGTCAGCAATGACTCATTGCAACCCTGAGAACAGCAGATCTGAACCCTGCCCTATCTTGCACCATCCTTACGATCTCCACCATCTCAAGCCCACCCATTGTTACAGTCACTGTGTCAGTACATCTCATTGATTGTCTTCCTCTCTTTTTCTGACTCTTTTATGATGTCTTTTTCCAAGAACTGATCATTCCTGACAACGTGCCTGTTTTATAATCCATCCTGCTAAGATTAACAGCAGACTTTTTATGAGAAGTTTCAGGTCAGCATAGTTCCAACTGCTTAACAGGCTGTATGTGTCCATAATTTCTAACGTGAACAGCTCCATGTGGCTCAGTCTCAAAATTCCTCTTGGCCTTTGGGTTCAGATTCACTAGAAGGTATTCCAGAGTCTCAGACTCACTAGAGGAATGACTCCTGTAACCATAAGTATGCAGGCTGGTTTTGGAGAAACTCGTGAGCAATGGGCTAGGATCCCGTATTCTGTCACTTGTGGCACAGCTAGATGGTGACTATGGGTGATGCTGGCTGGTTGTGTAGAGACGGGTGAGCAACTGAAAGCTATGTCCCAGGCAAGCAAGCTTTTCCAAAGGAAAGAAAAGCACCTGGCGCTAAGGTCCCTGAGTTTAAACACCCCTCCAATAATATAGGGCTTGTCTACTATTCTAATCTTCTTTCCTTAACACAATAATTGCTTCAGCACAAAATAAATAGTTAATCATTGACTAGAAAAGACATCTGAATGATAAATCTTGGACAACCAGAATGCCCAGAGTTAATGAGATTGAGTTTCACTATCCTTGCCTTTCAGGAGAATCCTAGCTATAATTCCTCCAAGGCAGATTTGTCTGTTCTATTGACAGTCTATGAGATATTCAATAATCTTCTGTGACAATACAACTCAAAGGTATTGATTCTTCCTCTGTCATCCTTAGCCGTTGTCCAACTTTCAGATGAATGGGAAGCGATTGAAAATACTATGGCGTGTATCAAGCAAATCACATTCTATAAACTATCATCCTTGTTCTTCAGAACTTTAAAGAAGTCTTTGACAGCGGACTTTCCCAGTGCAGCACATCTGTTGCTTTCATGAATGCTAACATTATAGGTGTTGATTGTGGATCCAAGGAAAATGAAATAGTGATAGCTTAAATCTTTTCTCAAGTTATCATGATATCGTATATTGGTCCAGTGGTGAAGATTTTTGTTTTCTTGATACTCAAATGTAATCCATGTTGATAACTATAGTGTTTGATCTTCTTCAGTAAGTATCTCAAGTCTTCTTAACTTTCTGCAAGCAAGATTGTGCCATCTGAATAATGCAGGCTGTTGATAAATCTTCCTCCAATCCTGATGCCACATTCTTTTTCTGATAGCCTCACTTCTCAAATTACTCATTTAACATGAAGATTGAATGTTTTGTTGTTGTTATGTGCCATCGAGTCGCTTGCGACTCATAGCGACCCTAAGTACAACAGCCCTAAACTCCGCTCTGTCCTGTGCCAATCGCACTGTCTCTGACACTCCCATCCCAATTATCCCAGTCACTGAGTCAATCCACCTCATAGAGGGCCTTCCTCTCCTGTGCTGTCCCTCCACCCTCCCAAGCATGATAAGATACAACCTTGATGCACATCTTTTCTGATTTGGAACCATACAATACATAACTGTCAATGAACATTGTGCTCTTTCTCTATCCATATCTCTCTCTCTGTGTATACATTTTGTCTTTATAGTAGAGGGATCATACTATGCTTGCCCTTATATATTTGACATATATCTTTTAGCATTATGTCCTTTAGGTCTATTCATATTATGACATGGATATAGACTCACCATTGTTCTTTATGGTATGTTTGCCTCACTTTGTATGTATGTGCGCTAATAGGCTTATCCATTCTTTGGTTGATGAGCACTTTGACTGTTTCCATATATTTCCATAAATAAAGTAGTGGTGAACCTACATTTGCTTATGTCTACTAGTGTGAATAGTTGCAACAGTTGGTTCAAGCACCATAGTAATTTTGAGGAAGGTGCAGGTTCAGGCAGTATTTCCTTCTCCAGTAAAAAGAGTTGCACATAGAGCTACTATGAGGTGGCTCTGATGGCACCTCACATCAGCAACAGATCGTATACCTAGGACTCGGATTACTGGATTACAAGATGGTTCTATTTTTTAATTGTTTGAAAGTTTTAATTTAACAAACACTAGTGTGATAATAAAATAGAAAAATTGAGCACAGACCTATAAGATTAACTCCCTAGAAGCAAAGATGTCACTAAGCTCTGATCTGAGGCTTTTAAGTGGAGGTAACCCCTGATCCTTTTCTCTGTTTTTATCAGGCAGCAGTGAAGGCAGTGGTGGCTTCCTCTCGGTTGGGAAGCGCAAGCAGTCACAGCAGCATCCAGGAAAGCCAAAAAGCCAGTCAAGACTCCTCTCCAATGCAAGAAGGAAACCAAGATATCAAAGATAATCCACAGGAAGAAAAAGATCCAGGAGATGGGGCTCCAATGGCATATGTAGGTGCTGAGCTGATACAGGAGCAGCCCTTAGGGAAAGTTGAAGATGTAAACATAAATGCTGCTGAGGCCACCAACATAGTTCCGGGAGAACTGGATGATGGGATAAAGATGACTGAGTCAGAAATGAAAGAGAGCCTAGCAGCTGGAAATCTGAAGACTGTGGAGGGAGAAGCAGTCCCCAAAGAAGGGCAAGAAAACCATGATCCAGAATATGGGGACCAACAGTATGCTGTGAACCTGCCAGAGTACTAAGTTGGCTTCCTTCAGATCTGGAAACCAAACCCTGGCCTTTTATGCACTTTGTCCTTCAGCAAGGAAGATGTGGAAGCATGATACTCACTATAGTGATTCTGTTCTTGAGGTGCATTAAATACACATATGTCAGTTGGTAATCCTAGCTTCAATGCATGTGACTGCTTTATGAAAATAATAGTGTCTACTATGGCATGTAAAGGATAACTAATACTGATGAATTAAATTTGAATATGCAAGAAAACAGCATCACATTTAAACAAAGACCTTTCCAGAGATCAGTGGCACACATTTGAAGTAAATAGTAACCAATTGCTTTGTCTTTGAAACCCTAGCTGTCCGATGACATTTACAGCATTTTACTTTTTATTACGGTTGTATCCAAACCATTTACAAGGATATGGTTATAGAGTTTAGTTGGATGTATGACATAGCAAAAATATTCATAATGTGTCATAAGACATTTAAACATGTTTCTTAAGGGCCATGGAATCAATCACGTGCCTCTAAATTTGTGTGGAAAATGCTTTATTGGTTTATCTTTGTTTATATTTTTAAAACATCAATTTTTTGTTACTAATAATCAAAATATTCTTTCACAAAATTCTGCCATTTCCGATGTTGGAGAAAGTATTTGCAAACTGATGCTGAGAAATGTATCCTTTCTTTCACTTTCTTGTCAATAAGATGTTCTCCTGATACAGATGGTGGGGATAGAGGGTGAGGGAATAATTCAGAGAAAAGAGACGGGAGAAGACAAAAAGAGAACATGGAGACTAAGGAAGAAAGATTGATTTCTTGTCATTTTTATAGATAAAATTGTATTTGTCTATGAGTTTTTACAATTTTACAAATAGAAACATTTTTATGGATAAATTCTATAATGACTAGGTTTTGAATATTTGGAAGAAAAAAAATCCATTCCAGAGACAGATGTCAAAATGTCTGAATAACATTCCATTATGTGATCTTTATTAACTTTACTAGAGTAATGAAGCATTTTTACTTATAAAAGCCTTTTCTTCCTTTGTTAGTTATCTAAACATACTACATATGAGCTAAATAGATTTCTGAGAAGCTATTTTTTTCATACTTGAAGTGGAACTGCCCAAATTTTACAATGCAGTTTTCAAAGTTCCCATATAAAAAGATTTAGAACAGTGCAACTTCTTATTTATCTTTAAAACGTAAATAAAAACAAACAAACAAAACCATAAATACTTCATTTTAAATTACACTCTGAAGAAGGTGGAACATTAGACCTAGTATTTTTATGATCTATTTGAGAATAAATCTGAATATTCTTTTATTGAAATATCAACACCTTTCCCTTAAAAAAGCTTGCTAATTCCAAGCATCCCTGATATGTTATTTTTAGCTAAAATAGATATTTTTAGAAATAATGCATCACATTTTTTTCAATTTCCTAAGTTTAAAAAGATGGACTTCTTTTCAAAAACCAAAATAACAGACAATAAAAGCAACCAACACAGAAAAATTCTCTTTAAAATACAAATAAACAAAAACAGATCTTAAAAGTATTTGGCTCTTCCTTATATCTATTAAGGTACGAAGCGAAATTCAGTGTCTGATTTCTTGAGGTTATGAAAACTTAGTAGATATTTTGCTTTTCAAGCACAAATACTCCTTTACTTCATTCCTCTTGAGAAAAAAAAAATATTACTGTAGCACTTCCATGGTCAGGTCCTCCTGCCAGGTCCCTGGCAGGGAAGACCCGATTTCTGAAGAGGCCCATGATCCGAGCTTAGAGCAAGATTATTATCTGTTTTACTTTTTTTCTCGGCTAGTATTGTTGTTAGATGTCATCAAATTGGCTTCAATTCATAGTGACCCTCTACCCAAACCTGCTCCATCGTCATGATCTCTGCTGCACTGAAGCTTATGATGTCTCCTTTTTTTTCATTTATCTTCCTCCTTCTCACTCATAGCCATGGAATCAAACCCAAACCATACTTGTCCCCTTCACTGAGTTTCTGATGCTGTGAATCTCTGGGGAGGAGTCTGCCTTTCTCGTGCGGAGCTGCTGTGGTATTTGAACCAGCAGAGAGCCTCCGCCTGTGGGTTAAGCCGCACAACCCCCTGTAGACTGTTTCACTGGAGATCCCTTCTTTCCTTTCTAGTATCCTTTAATTATTCACTCTTAGAAGTCTCATTTTTTGCCATTTTTTTAAAAAAACTCAGTTTTTAGCCTTTTAAAAATGTCTTTTTTTAATTAAGCTGTAGGATTTCTCTTTCTTTAGATTTAAGGAAAATAGTGCCATCTGAGAAGCCTATTTCCTGGTATACTTTCTCAAGGCGCTGTAACAGTCAAACCTGAGATGTTTAGCACTTCTGTAAGGCAGAAACCTAGCAGTGAAGGAAAGCTCAAAGCCATTAGTAAACAGCAACAGAAAAATTATAAGACTGCACCTGCCAATGGTGGGAAACTTTCTACACTAAGAAAAACAAGGCAGTCCCATCAGGTTCTCCTTTCACCGGTTTCACTGTATATGTGATGAACTCAAAAAACTCAAAACTCATTGCCTTGAGTCATAGCTGACCGTCCAGTGGTTCAAAGCCGGTAAATCACATAGAAGGAGATTGCTCATTTTCTCCTGTGGAGCAGATGGTGGATTTGAACTTTGTGCCTTTGGGTTGGTAGTACAACTCTCTACCCCTATAATTCTAAGAAGGTAGGGTGTTAGGGAAAGGAATATGGTTAGTAAGGGCCAGATATTTGGAGGAAGACAACTCATTGTAACTTCAAGTCCACCCCCATATTGTTCCAGGGAAAACTTTTATATCATTCCAAGATTGTATTCCTTGGCTCTGTGGACTATAGAAATAGCAATGTAAATGTTAAAGCTGGTATTTGTTCTAGAATGTGCTGATTTAGATGAGTGTGCTTACCCATTCTTTAGAGAGTACTCATGGCTGTGAAGGTACCTTCTGGCTGTTTTAACCTATAAATGGCATACTCTGATTTCCATAAGGGTTTTAAATGTCAAGCCATATTTAAAAGATTTAGTCCTGAAAAGGCCTAAATAGTAAGTTATTGTAGAAAAGGGGATTCCAAACTGATTTTAAAAAATTAGCTATTCCACTTAAATACAACCTACGTTGAGATAAATTAGGTTATTTTCAAAAGAATAAACAACATTTGTATAGTTTGATCTCTATATTCTCGATCAGTGTTTGCCTAGGTAAATAATGGTAAACTGTTGCAGATAGTCTTAATTTGACAAACTGCACTGCTAACTGGCAGTGTAATTAGAAATTAAAATAGTGAAAGTTTTCAACAAAGAAATAAAAAAAAGTTAAGTTCAGATTTTTGAGCTAATCATTACCACATTACAATATTGACTTTGTTTTGAGGTAGATCAAGTTTATAGCATGAGATAGACTTTTACCTTGAAAATGGAAAATCTTGAAAAATTACCTCTGTTTAAAAGTCAAATTTGGAATCTCAATTGGTTTTTCAAAAGCTGTTAGAGTTCATTGGTCCTACAGATACATAAGAAGGTGGTTGGTGGTGTTATCACGTACCATGGAGTCAACAACAACTAATAGCAATCCTATCTACAATAGCTCTGAACCCTGCTCTATCCTGGGTCAATCTCACTGTCTCTGACAGTCCTCCCCATATTACCCCAATTACCTTGTCAATCCATCTCATCCAGGGTCTTCCTCTCATGAATTTCTCCTCCACCCTTCCAGGCATTATTTCCTTCTCCAAGGACTGGTCCTTCCTGGCAAGGACTTTCTTTTGCACTTTTTACATAAGAAGGTAGAAATTAGACTTCTATGATTTAGAAATTATAGCATAGAATGATATTTATAGTCTAGAGTGAAGTTATAGTCTTATATTATTCAAATCACTTAAGCAATTTAAAATTTTCTGTGACGCTCATTTGAAAAAAGTACAAAACAGGTGAGATTAACTGAAGTGATATCTTTTAATACAATATTTCAATTGTTAGATTAACACATAGTCAATATTAAAAATACTCATAATAACTTACATTATTTTTATAAATTTTTCAAAATCTGGAATATGATTTATAACTAAGTCTGTCAAGTGCTGAATAGCACCAGGTGGTTAGTGGTTAAGGTGTTTGAAGAGCCCTACTCTAGAGTGCTTTTTATTTTAAGCAAAGTGACACCGGCATTTCTGTTTATATTTAAGCTGTCTCATTTTCGAAATTAATTAGTCAATTGGAGGCTAAAGAGAAAATGTTCCAGAAATGTGGAAGTAAAAACAAAAGTGTATTTGCCACTTCAGCTAATTTGCATGCTGCAGAAGTGGAGTATTTCCCAGCATGGCTTTGAAAAAGTTTCCTGAGCAGCGCTATATTGTCTGTTGTCCACAGGCCCTCTCCTTCCCTTTTGGACCTAGGTGTGTGCATAGCTTGTTGTCTCCGGAGTACTACCAGTGCCAGTAGTTTCTTGTTTATCCAGCCGGCTGTCAGTTAACTAGGTGTTCCCTCCGAATGGACTGCACACACATTACTGTATTGAGCTGGGCACCACCCATGCCTCATAGCTGTTATGTCCTTATAGAATCTGCTACTCAACAACAAATTTATATGATGTTAATTTGATGATGATGATGTCATCTGACTTACTTTAAAATTGGGAATATGACAATAGGTTACTTTTTTATTATTATTATTAGAAAGGATTAATTGGCCCTGCCATTACACATAGCACATAGACACACAGACTCTGGAATTTTCTTACATATTCAGAATAATACTCAAGGTTCTCTAGTCCTTTTTAGTGACAAAAGGATGGAGTAATTTGCCTTTGATTGTGACTTTAATCATATGATCTGTTAAGCATACTTTGTTACTTAGCATGTTTCCCTGTTTCCAGTCTAATATGCAATAGGGCAGTGGTTTGCCTGGAGATCTTGAGAGAACTATTTTGTTTTGTGATTCAATCGTTTTATAGCCCAAAGCAGCTGGTTTTATTTCAGATTGGAAAATGAGAAGCAAATG